CGGTCGAACGTAGCTTTCGATTTTAATCGTAGAAAGTTTTCCGCTGCACTAATTACCCCCCCCCCCCCCCCCCCCTCCTTAGTGCTCTCGATCCTAACAAACTATGTATATTTTGAATGGTATTCCTAGTAAGTAAATTACATGACTTCTTTTAAGTTATGAAATGATAGGAAACCTAATTTAAGATATTTACATTTTTGAGAATGTCCGATGGAGATAATGATCTTTAACTCACATAAAAGAAAATTAGAATTAATAACTATTTCTAAATATTTTATTATATATTTAGAAAAGTTTAAAAGGGTACATATCTTATTGCTCTAATTATAGTACGAGAACAATTAAATCTAGTAATGTAAGATTCCTATAAAATAACAAATTAATAAGAAAGAAAATCTCAAAATTTAATTTTGATATGAAGGAGATATAAGTTAATACTCCTTTATTATTCGAGATATAGTTGTTACTCAAATCATTAAATGATTTGATAAAAGTGAATAATAAAATAATATTATTAAACTCTCGTATTATATTGATATCGCTATTAATGGTCTTATAGAATAATAATAATTAAAATATCTTAAAGGGAAAGGAATTCTATCATTTATGGTTATTATGTGACATATCTATAAAAATTATATTATGATATATGAATCAGAATGGATCCATTATTATTTTTACAAGTCATAAAAGTAATGATTCTGAAAAGTAATATGATGCAATAAAAGAAGAGTTAAAATTAAAAACCAGAATGACATATGATAAATTTATCAAATTATCTAATAATTATAAAAAAAATCTATTATATAAATGTGACTCAAAGGATAATGTCGAACAATATAATGGTCAGACTTGTGGTTAAAAGTTTTACTCATAAATAATGTATTGACTATAATGAGACATTTAGTTTTTTAATGAACTCGTTAAGAATCATCATGATATTAGTGGCTCATTATGAGTTTGAGTTATATCATAATGATATGAAAATATTTTTTAAAGATCTAGCTTTATATAGGTTATTCTAAATGATTTATAAAGAAAATAAAAGAAATATAAAGTTTGGTATGCAAATTCACGAATCCATTTATGACCTTAAATAAGTTTCGAGATAATAATATATAAAAGTTCTTGATATTATTATTTTCAGATTTAAGAAAAATACTATTGATCAGTATATATATCAGTGGGAGCAAATTTATTATATTGGTCTTATATATGGATAATATTTTGTCTTACCAAAAGTGATATTGATTTATTATATTAAATCAAGAAATTTGTCACTAAGAGTTTTAAGATTGTTAATATAAATAAGACATCTTATATTATTAACATTGAGTAATTCAATGATAGACTTCAATGATTATGAAGACTATCTTAGAAAAGATATATCGATCGAGTGTTGAAAAGATTTAATATACAACTTTGTTTAGTAAATCATAAAAGTAAAATTTTAGTCAATAGTAAATGCTTTAAAATGACTTGAAAATAATCAGATAAAGAAAATATTCTTAGTATATGCGCAGTTAGAAGTTTATGCTCAAGCTTGTGTTAGAATAGATATCAGTTTTATAATTAAAATATTAAGCATATATTGGAGTTACCTAAAAACACTAAAGGATTACAAAGAAAGTAATAAGATATCTAGAAGGGACAAAGGATTATATGCTCACATGTATAAAATTATATCAGTTTGAAATAATGATATTTTTCATATGTTGATTGTATAAATTATCTCGATAATAGGAAGTCTACCTTACGATTAATATTTATATCAATTAGAGGGTCAATTTATTATTATTATTAATAGAAGTTGATTTTGTGACATGCTTTGGGGCCATTGATCAAACTTTTTAACTACAAAATTTTATTTCAGGACTTGGTATGGTAAGACTCAATTATCAAGTTATTGAAGATATTTTGTGACACCACAGTAGTTTTTTCTCAAAGAATGATAAGTACTATTACATCTCTATGCATTATGATATAAAGTACTTAATGGTTAGATAAGAGGAGTCCAAAAACATATAATGTTAATTAATTACTTGAGTTCCATTATATTGATTGTTAATCTATTCATTTAGGACTTATAGCCTAAAGTATTTTGAAAGAACATATTCTTATGATTGAGTTTGTGAGTAACTCATAAAGGATATGATGATACATGTTTGAGTAGATATTGTAATTGATATTCTTGCTTACGTACTTAAAGTTATTTGTTTCCGCTATCTTGTTCACAACTATATATATACATATTATGGTTGAAGTGATGATAGGATTGTCTTAACAAGACAAATTATATGGATCATTTTGAACTACATTAGGAAAGACTAACATTATTGTGGTATATAGAAGAAAGTATGACATAGATGACATACAATCGCTATTACTCATATTGTTAATCAGACTTAATATAGTATTATTATAATTATTGGACTTATTGGCCTATTTTTAAAATTCGCACGTGTGTATATAGTTTTTATAAAATTTCAGAATTCAATTGGGTCAAATTATTTTTAAATAAATTTTATTTATTTAATTTTAATTTTAAGTCTTTTTTTATATCTTACTAATTATTGGGCCAAGTGGGAGAATGTTAGATTATGTGGTCCTATTTAATTATGTAAGATATATTATAGGTATTATTGGATTCTGATTATAGTTATTGACCAATAGAAAAGAAGTTTATGTTAAAGTAGGATTCCTTAGGAGATAACCGGGAGAAATTCTGCTAATAACTTATCTTAGACCATTTGCTCTCGCCTATAAATAGATAGGACCTCTAGGGGCTAAAGAGAAACATCTCATAGATGATTTAGTTGAAGGATTACAGTCTTCCTCTTAACTCTTCTCCCCATCAATCTAAGTCCATCAATCTAAATGGTCCAAAGGATAGGAAGAGAGGAGAAGGATTTAGTTCTCATCATATTGATATCTCAGATCTGACGATCTAGTTCTCATTGATATCTTAGATCTAACGGTGTGTTTGCAGATCAAATAAGATTTATTCTTTTGAGAAACAATAAAATGTATGCATCCTAATATTATTAGATCTAATTTATTTGATTTTAATCTTAACATAAATATTTTTTCCTATTACAGATGTAACACACTCATGGAA